CATTTGATTTTAAAGAATATTAAATTAATGATGAAACTAATAAACTAGTTTCCCCATGTTTATAAAATATTCTATAACTTTTGTTTTTTCATCTGAAATATGATTTTGGTTAGAACTTTGAATGAAATACAATGCCGATGAATATGGATACTGTCTCTGGAAGAACAAAATGGAAACCAAAGCCTCTAATGCATGCCAAAACTCATCGCGATGAACCACCAGACCAATCTGAATAAAGCAGAGACACACGGTATGACCTGTCCAAGGATAAGAAAGCAGAGAAAAAGATAGCTCACCAAAGATTTATTATTGATGGATGATACATATTTAATTACACATACAAATATGTATACATTTTAATATTAGAGAACAAATATTTTTTTTCGCTTATTATGTCTAACAAATTCATATAAATCTAAAATTTGTTTGATTATCATGTGCTCTATATTTTACACGAATAATGAAGATCAATTTTACACTTAGAAGATATTGAAATAAATAGCATTTTCATATGTACTAATAATGTTACACTTAAAAATATAAAAACTAATGGTATTAACATATGCATGACCAAAAGTATTTAATTATATTACATTTATACACAATACATATTCTTTTATACGTTTATAGATATTAAAAACCATATGATTTATCATACATGTTTAAATATTAAAAACTTGTATATGTTACAATCGATTAGTCAACCTATTTGATCATTTAATCCCGCGTTTGGACACGAGTCAAAATCTAGTAAATGTTAATTGAGGAGAACAAGAGTAAAAAATTTTATGTGTCAATCAATGAACGTTTTAGGGGATATGTCATTAAATCTACGCAATCAGAACATATTAATAAAAAATAAATGCCTTGGTGACAATCTCTACATATCCTCGCTAATTTTAGAGACTTTTTGTTTCATTTTAAGTGATGTTTTTAAATTTATATGCAAAATTAATTTTTTTTTGTTGTTTTTGACTATTTAATTCGAATTTTGCAACTTTTTTTTTATTGGTTGAACTATTTTAGAGTTTATGATAAACATGTTTTATTTTGAAAAAATAAAAATTATATAATTTCTTAATATGTCAGTAAAAAACCTTAAAGATCAAGTAATTTGAAACGAAAAGAGTATTAAAACGTTTTTATGATTTTTTTAATGTTTTTATCCCGTTCTTGGCATGAGTCAAAAATTTAGTAGTAATCAAAAGGGTAGATCTAAAATATT